TTAAAGCACATCAGATTGAAAGGTATCAAGCTTTTGTTCTTAGTTGGAGGTTTCAAGGAGTTCCTCCCCCCCCCACCCGTTCAGGCGAAGATTGGACAAATACATCATTCTTATCCCTATCGAAGCTCAGACAGACAGAAAGATCCCATCAGATCACGTAGTACTTCATTCGCAGGTATTTAACACACGCACGCCAATGTATATATCGCAGCTAGTCTAATGGCGTTAGTCTAATGTTTGTATAATTCATCACCCATGCCTCTCAAACAACGTAGCTTGAATTTCATCACTCTTCACGATACCGAAAAACCAGAGTTTCTAGATCTGTGTAGCATAGAAGAATGTAGATGCAATGCTTCATTTAATTTGCTGTTCAAAAGATCTGGTGTAGATGTGTTAGAATACCATGACATGTAACTCAAAGTACATGGTGCACTTGTGCGGGTAATCGAACTGTTCAAGTAGATGATCACTTGTTCAAACTTGCCAAATGAATGTTGGATATGTGACGTGCAACTACAGGAGTCGTTCGTTTTGCAAACACTATATCTGTTGAGCATCCAACATGTTTTTTTATGCATATAATATTTTGTCTGTTGTTTGGTTAATTTATTATCAATTTTATTATTATGATAATCGATATTGTTATTATCATTGTTATTAATATCGAAAGAGACTTGATTAGGAATTCATGTTCGGAAGCTATGCATTTCTCTACCTAAAAGGTAATTTTCGTTCTCGTTTTCCTCTTATTTTGTTATTTTCAAGCCGTTGATGGCTTCTGCGCGTTTGTGGTTAGGCCCTAGACAACTTTCGGTTCATCTGCGTACGTTTCCTCTAGTTTCCTCGTATGTTTAGTATGAATCTTCTTAGCGTTATAGGAGCCGAAATAAACCCCTGTATCAGGGTTGCTCGAGGGTTAAGTCTCTGTTTTTCACGGAGGTGTTGACAGAACCGACCACGTTTTGTTTTTTTGCAGTTTTCCAGCTTTCAAAAAAAAAAAAGGAACGTAGTCTTCTGGTGGCTCACCTATCGTCCTTGAGTGAAACAGAGGACGTGATCTGTAAGGAAACGTACATTCCATTGAGGATCACATTCCTGACTTTGTTTGAGACAAAAAAAACTCATCCAGTGCCACCCAAACTCATTGGCACGCCGGAAGTTATAGCAGTTTGTTGATCCTTAGTCGATATTGACTGTGGTTACATCCGTAGGGTTCATCGATTTAGGTTTTGTTTCTACGGCAAACATATTTATCGCTTCAAAATCCATATATTTTTTATGTTTTTTTTTTCTTTACGAGATTATTTGCCGATGATACTTCTTTAACAGTGTCTTGTAATAATTTAAATGACCTAAAATTAAAATAAATTTATTTCCTCCAAGTTTTACTGGTTGGCTATGTGCTAAGAAGTTCACTTCAAACTTAAATGAAAAAAAAAGACCTCTTCTTTCAACCACGTAAGAAAGTGAACTTTAATCTGCTACCTCCATTATTTTTAGCATATCAAATTCGCTTAAATTAATATCCAGGTTTAATTCGTGAAATCGTGTGAAATTGAACGAGTTATGCCAAAAGAGGCTTTCCTCTTACATGGGGATACCGGATTCGCGTGACGGCCTTCAAACACAGTTATCAGCCTTACTAAACAGTGACACACCTGTTAGCCCAGCTTCATTTTTTATTCGTTTTGAAATAGCAACTCAGTACAGAATTCAGAAAGTTATTTGTTGAAAGCCAGTGTAAGTGATTTAGCTTAAAATGCCCAAAAAAGAAAACCATGAAATACAGTAAGATTTTAGAAAAATCCAAAACAAAACAAATCACTTGTAATAAAGGAATGAATGTCAGTCTTCGGAGTCACCATTTTCGTCGGTAACTATCGGTTCATCTCCGGAAATGGGCGCGGACTTTTGTATTTCTTGGTGTTGAACGTCGTCGGTGAATGAAACATGTCGGTTTGGTCCAGGTCTGCGCCTTCCGGCAGTAGGCCTCCCACGTTGACCACCAGGAGCCTGCGGTGTCTGCATGATCTGTGATTGACCATACCTTGTCGACCACATCCCAGACATAGCTTGGGTTGAGTAACCCATATCCTGACCGCCCAGCCTCATCTGCATGTTGGACGGCATAACTGTACTTTGGCCGGGGTAGTTCAACTGCATGGGGGCTTGTGCGGTGCTTTGACCAGGGTAGTTCAGCTGCATTGGAGCCTGTACGGTGCTTTGACCGGGGTAGTTCAGCTGCATCGGGGCCTGTACGGTGCTTTGACCGGGGTAGTTCAACTGCATCGGGGCCTGTATGGTGCTTTGACCGGGGTAGTTCAACTGCATCGGGGCCTGAACAGTGCTTTGGCCGGGGTAATTTACCGTCATTTTTGACTGCCTGCCTGCTCCTTTGCCGGGGTAATTTAACGTCATTTTTGACTGCCTGACGGTACTTTTGCCGGGGTAATTTAACGTCATTTTTGACTGCCTGACGGTACTTTTGCCAGGATAATTCAACCCCATCGTTGATTGCATAGCTTTACTTTGGCCAGGATAGTTCAACGACATTTGGTTGAATCCTTCATTCGCATCTATCACAGTCGTAGGGTCTATCAACATATCCATTGCTTGAAATTCCATTTGCTCTTGTTCATATTGGAATTTCTTCCTGTGCAGGCAGCATACAACAACGATCAAAATGATAATAAGAAGTCCTCCGGCGCTTGATCCTATTATGATAAGTAACATCTTGTTCAGTTTTCGATCCCCTTGAATCTGTCTTCTCGGAACCTCTGGTAACAAAAAGGGGTTCTCTTGATCCATCACTCCATCATAACACTGTAGGTCACTCATACATTTGGGTTCCTTGAGAAGCGAGCCATCAGCTTCCCTGTTACACCAGAAACACCCGAATATCTCATTGCACTCTTTTTCATCGTACCGCTCGCAGTGCACGCTGAAGCATCTTCCAAGGTCAGCGGAATTCACCTTTAGAGGCCCACGCTTTGGTACTGAAGGCGAAGGCTGGGTGCACAGCGGGATGTTGCTAAACAATAGAACATAATACAGTTACTTATAATTTATTTATAAGGTCAACACGTAAGATTTGAGATATTATATGTAGAACAACAATTAAATATTAAAGAATCAAACCAAGGCGCTCTAAAACTGTGTTTAAAGGTAGCTATCTGAACAACTGCGCACCTACCCCTCCCCTAAATCAACAAAAGTAAACTGATCACAAGTTAGTGTTCATATTGGGTTAGGGGAGGGGTAGGTGCGCAATTGTTTAGACACTGACATTGATCCTTTGAAAAATGTACTGGGAAAAATTCCCATTTGTTTCATAACCTATTTTGACCATAAATCTGACTCATAGGGTCACCACAGCACAACACAGAAAAACTCCTTAGCTCCACGTGCCCTCAACTCAAAAGCGAATTGACAGACCCTCAAGTTTAAACTCGCGATTCATCTTTCTACAAAGACTTAGAAAAGCTTTGACTTATGATGCAACTCCACGTGTTCAAAAGGACATCATCCTGATTCACCCAGTGTTTGCTGAACTACTTTCAACAAAACTCATTTGTGTTCCATGAAGAAAAGCAGTACAGTACAGTGCACTAGTTTTATTAAATTTCTTCCTAGGAACGTTTTCTGGGTTGACTTACGACACTTTGCGGGGAACTTTGGCCAGATTGCTTTAACGTTCCTTGCTAATCAGTACAGAGAAGATACAGAAGACGGGGCCTACGGTTTACCGTCCTTATCCTTATCCGAATGTCTAACCAGTTGCAAATGTCGTAGGTAACGCAGGAAGTTCTCCTCAGTTATTTTTAGACCCTGATTGTCGGTCGTGAAAGTTGTTTCCAAATCACTTACCTCTCTTCAGTGAGGCTTGCGTTACAGATGTTGTATGTCAAGCGAGCTTTACACGGACACTCACAATGCGTGCTCTCGTGATGCCTGCACACGTATCCGCAGGTGCACGCATCACGGTTTATGAGGCACGTAGAACTTTTGGTAACAACCACAAATACGTTTGTTTCGGGAACTTCAATGATTGCGTATGAACGACAATGACTCTTTTTTCCAAGTGTACCTATATATAGGCCGTTTTCTATCTTGATCTGAAACAGAGTATAAGACATACGAAAGTTTCAATTATTTTTCACACCAAACATACTCGAGGTTTTGTTCTATTGAAAGTTTTTGCTGCCGAGTCTAAGATGGGCAAACATGTATGTATGTATGTATGTATGTATATATGTATGTATTTGCGACATTTAGACACGCTGGCCCAGTTTAGCTTAATGCTGGTTTAAATGTGGATCTGTATAAACAATGACAAGGCCAGACCACAACATCGGGAGCTACGTTCCTACTCTGTGCGAGAAGTGTGCAATTTCTTTAACGTCCCCTGCTAGCCAGTACGGAGGAAAGGCAGAAGACGTGGCCAACGGCTTATTGTCCTTATCCGAGGAGACTAGAATGTCTAACCATTTACCGATGTCCAAAGGCAGCACATTACCCTCAGTTATTTTAAGACCCTGAATGTTGGTCCAGTCTAGTGCTTAAACCCTCAACCTACCGTGCGGCAGTCCGGTGCTCCACAACGTGAGTCAACCAGGCACAGTTATCATACTTAAATGATGCTACTGCTTGAGAATAAAATTTAACAAAGTATTCTCGAGAGCATAAACATTGTCAAGAGTTTTAAAGCTTTATACCCTCATATCAGTATGCATATTCTCCATACTGTTCTCTATACACCTTCTAAGGTGCTGACAAGGAGACTTTTTTTTTAAAACAATCAATGGCTTCTTAAGTTGGTGATCATTCCTTTATTGTCGTGACCTTGCTACTTGATTTAAGGTTGGCAATATAAGGAGAAATTAAATCTTAAT